ATATATATATTTACAGAATACCTTTACATATAGACTTCCACTGTAAGTTAAAATTATTTTATATTTAGCTTTTTTAAATAAATAAATGAATTAATTATAAAAGCATATTTTATTTAATTATGATAATGGTTGGTATTTTATTTCTTGAATGTGAATTTGTTTTCCCTGTTTTTAGTGTGTAATATGTTTTTAAAGCACTTTGTAAATGCTATTTTAAAATAAGTGTCTTGTCTTTTGTAAGTGACAGCATGCCATGGATTCTGTCAATAGAGCTTAACACTGAAACATTCATTCACCGCTTTTGAAGTTCATAGTGAGATGTTCATAAAAACCAAAAACATAACACTAAGTTTCAATGGAGTCTGTACGTTACATTACATAATTATAAAAAAAGTGGTGAGAAAAAGAATAAAAAGTATGACAGTCTTCAGCCCACTGCTCGCCTTTTAATCACCATAATTAAAATCCTTTTCCTTTCATTCAAATTATGAAGGAATCAGAGGTTGGTCACCTAGCGTTGGCCACACACTCCATGGTGATCTCAGAGGTGCCGGAGATGACGCTGGTGTTCCTCGGCGGGATGACAATGGTGGGAGCGATGGGGTCTGCAGGACCACCAACATCTACAGCAGAAGAGAAATGTGAGAATGAGAAAACGATGAGAGCTTGAACAAGTGAGTTATAATACACAGGTAAAGGACATTATCGAGTGAGTGTTTTTAATAGAACTCTGATCTGCCATCTTCAGGTGTGAGTGTGTCCAGATGTAGGAAGTGCCAGCCGATGTACTGTACGTGTTACAGCAAGTGTGACAGATTTGTGTTTGGAAGAGGAACTTATATCCCTGCTCTCCTGGCAGCTATGTGCGTGCGTGTGTGTGTGTGTGTGTGTGTGTGTGTATGTGTGTGTGTGTGTGTGGAGCTCTGTCAGAGACAGTCTCTGTAAAGCACTGATATACAGCTTCTGGGAAGGACTGTCCTCTACACACACACACACACACACACACACCTCCCACGATCTCTAATCTCCTCGCTGTCTCTGCACCATACTTTAGTTCCTCCTGTATTAGACTCAAAAATATCATATCCTGGTTTGCCGGGAGAATCTGATATACTGAAACTCTTGCAAAGTACAATCCATAACTGTCAATATTCTCGCTGTGGAAGCTGTGAGAGTGAAACAAAGCACTGTTACAGACAGAAGACAGCTATGTATTTGTCTATAGCCTGTTTTTCTCAGGTTTACATGTTCATATAAACCAGCATGTTGTCTAAAATAGAAAGACAAGATTGAAATCTTTGCTTCATTTACTTCCATTCTTTCGCATATGAATGTGGGAGATTGAGAACAGAAGTATATGCATAAATATTTCATCTTTTACTGTAAACTAAGGGTCACGTTCAGAAATTACACACAGCATTTTTAAAATTAATAAATAAAAACATTTATTAGAATTAATATATTAGCACAAAATTGGTGTTTTTTTATTTATTTAAAAAATAATTTAAGTTAAATTAATTATTTGAAAAACGTACAACAACCTTTATTGATGTTACTTTGAAATATGGATTAAATTGATATATTTTCATAGCAGATATGAAATAGAAATATATACATTTTTTCAAACTGTTTTAGTTTTTAGTGGGTTCTAGTGCTTTTTTTATATAAAAAAATAAAAATAAAATAAAATGAAAATATAATAAAAATATTTTTTGGATAAAAGCGTCTGCTAAATGACTAAATGTAAATGTAAATAAGTTTGTTCATAAATATAATTAACACAAACAAATTTTATAAAATTATATATACACACACACACACACAAAACAGTACTGATTTACAATATTGAAAAAAAATATTAAAAATTAAAATTATTACTGGCTAATGGTATTGGCCAGAATTGTGATGTATGCGCATCCTTAGCTGTAATACAGTAGTTGTCATCTGTGATATAATCATTTGTAAAATGTATAATTAATTTTAGTCTATAGGAGGAAGTCTAAGTCTAACTTTGTGTGTCCAAATCTCTACAGACTTACTTTCCACAGACAGTGTTATGGGCTGGCCAGTCTTGTTTTCGCCGTTCTTGTCATTCACGGCTTGTACGTAGTATCTTCCAGCATCTGGGGCCACGGTGGACAGGATGACCAGCGTATTGTCCAGAGTAATGGCTCTGTGAGAAAACAAGCAGCAGAATCAGGGTCAAACATCTCCAGCTGTCATATATCACACACAAGCACTGATTTATAACACTGCATCAGTAATATCCCAACAAACTACACACCAAATGCTCAGTGCTGCGCTTGAAAAGCTGATATTTACATGAAATATTCCCTACGGATGTTTCAGAGCCAGTGGAGTACTAACTCACTGCCATCTCATTATGCCTATTCATATACACAAAGGGAAATGTCTTTAAAAACATGACAGAATTCTGAATTTTTCTTTTTTTTTTTTCTAAACCATTGACACAACGACTCATTTAGACATAATAAACAAAGAAACTTAATTTCTCCATCTGTCATTTCCCCTCCAGATCAAGAACTCCATGAAATGACTTTGCTCCATAAATATCACATAAACTAATTATTTATATACTATTATAGTATTTATTAATATTCTGAATTAACTTTTATTTTATATTTTAGAGTTTCCATTTGTTTTAATCATATTATCATAATTTTGTAATTTTTATTAATTAATTTTTTATTTTTTTGTATTTGCCTTTAATTTATTTTATTTCATTTTTTGTTTTCATAATTTTATACTTCAGTTTAACCTGTTAACTCAGAGATTGCATTACTGTTTATTGTACTTTAATGAACTACAACCATTTAAGTTCCGATAATGCATTTTCACGTCTATGTAAAAAAAAAGGGGGGGGGTTGACAGTAAATATGGTAAACTTTATTTCAGCTTATTTCATTTAATATTTCAACTTCATTTTAATTAACAAAAAATATTTTAATAGTTTTAGTTAACAATAACAACCCTGAAACTCAGTGAGCTGTGGTGCTTGTGTGGCTGACATGAGTTCAAATCCAGTTTGCACTGTCTGGATTATGTTTCCCCATCATTCCCTTTCCATTTCGCACATTCCTATTAATAAAAAAAAACAATGTGGCCAAAAATAGCAAAAAGTGGCAATTCAAATAACCAATAACATAAATTGTGTGCACAGAGCGTTGCAGAACAGCTTTTAGCAAACCAAATCATCATCAAAACAACTCAAATTCAAATATTCATGAGTATCTGCATATTTAAAATTAATTTTGTCCTAAAGCACTGATTACACCAATCCAAACACTTTCAATAAAGATAAAACACATACAATATTGAAATTACTGATTGCATTTACTGAATTGTTAAGTGATATTAAGCTAACGATTTCAAAAGCACAGTTTGCTTTATTAAAAAGCAAAAAGCCTCATCCTTTTCCTTAACAACAGCACGATAAAGACATTACGCTCGAGTGCAGCCGGCTGTCACAGGATATTACATCAACCTCCTGAAATGATTAATGACTGCTGTATGATTAGAGCAGCTCAACATAGAGGGATGACATAAGAGCGGATGATTGATTTTAATATCTCCTCATGCACACACTTGGTCTCAAATTTCTCCCATTTTCGGCCCACGATGCATCGTTCCAGATGGATAAGGGGCCGGTTAATAAGGGCGAACGGCTGTGGTGTGATGATCTGTAGTGAATATTTCACTCTGCCTGGGTCCTGGTGCGGCAGGTGTCAGGGAGAGAGCCACACTGCTGCTGAATTATGGATTGGAAGAGGGACAGTGAGCAGCCCAAGACTGCAAATTAATCTCAGGTGATTCCCTAAACCTGAGCACATAAAACGAGAATAAAGACACAGCTAGCAAACTGAGCAGCTAATGAGGCAGTCAAGAAAACACACACACACACACACACACACACACACACAAGCACATTTATATATGCACTTACATTGTTATTTCCTTATACTTTTATAAACATTCACACACACACACACAATAAAATATGATTTACACTGCAAGCATACGACACCAAATTCCTGACTCACTGAAAGGTCACGCATAAACATTATCACACATGTCTCACAGTACTCATAAATATAGCACATATACATGTTTCTGAAAGCACAGACGAATATAAAATAAGATGAAGCATATGAACCCGTTTTATGTGGTAACAACATATGACAGAGGTAAATTATGAACTTAGAAATGCCAAAGAACATGTAATCCAGGCGTCCATGCAGGAATTCTGACATTTTTATCCATAAGGTCAGGAATTTTTGCGTAATATAATAAAAAATATTCAATGAACTGCTAATGAAACCTGCATATACAGTGAATGAGGATAAAATAAAACTGCAGTTCTGGTACTTATTTACATTTTGAGGATTTTAACCAACATATTTTTGGTATAGACAAATTATAAGTCAAATCATACAGGTGGCTTATTGAGGAAAGATGTACTTTTACTCTTCCGATCGATTCCACAATACCAGAACATTATATAGACAATAAGTAATCACCTAGCAACCAGCCACGACACCTTAGCAACCACACAGCAACAATCACTGAAAATCTACATAGCAACATCCTATCAACCAATCACAATACCCTAGTATCAGTGAAGCAAGCTTTGCTCTTATTTGTGTGATTATTATTATTATTATTGTGTTATTATATTTTTGCCCCACTCTTTTTCTGCCTTTACTCTCTCTGCATGTATTTGAGTGTACTCCCACGTGGTTGTGGAAAGATTTCATGAAATCAGTGATCAGTGACTGTTTCTTGTTGAATCACAGAGCTGAGAAATTAGTATCACTGTTGTGCTGTGTTTTCTCATCAAAGGTATTCACCGCATTCAGTTACTGCAATCCTGCATTTAAGTCTGCCAAAGATTGGCATTCTGGGAGAATTCATACCGTTCAAGTGTGCATAAAACATGGAGTCTGTAGAACAGTTCCAAAACTCAATGAGCTGCCAACCTGGAGAGCATTACAAGGCAACACAGGTTCACTCTCAATGCAAAGGTTGTTCCAAAAAGTAGGAAGCATTAATAATCATAAATGCATCAGATTAATCAGAAGGCTGAGTAGAATTAGAAGGTAATTCCAAAATGCAATGAAAGAGAAAAGTTGATTACAAATATACATGGTAGTATATGAATATTTATATGATTTTTTATGTTTTTGAAAGAAGTCTATTATGCTCAACAAGGCTGCATTTATTTAATCAAACATGCAGTAAAAAACAGCAATACTGTGAAATATTATTACAATTTAAATTAACTGTTTTCTATTTTAAAATATTTGAAATTTAATTCATTCCTGTAATGGCAAAGCTGAATTTTTACTCCTTTCTTCAGAGTCACATGATCCTTCAGAAATCATTATACTATTCTGATTGATGCTGAATTATCAGTATTAAAAACATTCATATTGACCCCAAACTTTTTTTGAACAGTAGCGTGCTTATATTTCATTTAATACTGAAGTACACACACACACACACAAAAAGAATATTTAACTGAATATTCTATGTGTGTGAGCATTTTTATGCTAATTATACAGTTCTCTGGAATACCTGATTCTGCTGGGTAGATCATGGCATTACACAGTCAAATATTTTTGCATAATACCTGCTAAACTGTATATTTGACGACTGTCCAAGCAAGAAGGCAGCTGTGTTGGTTTCACGTCTCTCGAAGCACACTTTGGTCTTTTTTCTCACATGATAAAATAATTTTTACCCAAATCAGTATTTCATGACCATATGTTTTATGTTATAAAAATATACATTAAATATAAGTGGGATAATGTACAAATAAATGGTTTTAACCTCTTCAGACCAGAAGATTCGATATGATCCCTCACTTTTTAGGGGACTTTTAGCTTAGCGACATGCTAACATCAAATTCTATTGGAACCAATTGGTGTAATGAAAACATTACGCCATATATGAGGTTCATTTCATTTAGGATGCTGCTGGTTAGACAGCAAGGCAGCTCGAAACAGAGCTTGTGTGCACCTGCGTTCGAATGTGTGTGTTTGCTGACCCACTATAACAGTTATACGTACACAATAGCGAGTGGAATGGCATTTGTCAGTGCAGCACTCTCCAGGGAGCAGCAGAGTCCGCAGTCAATGACCTCTATTACACTTAGACAAATATGCACGGCACAAGCCACGGTCCCTTTAGAGGCAATATGATCTCGAGCGAATATCACACGCACACAGTCATGGTAAATATATCTAGGAACACTTACAAATACTGACAGGACACACACAAGCAGATCTAGCGCACACACACAGCACAAGCTGAATACAGGTGGTCAAATAAAACTGACAGAAAGAATATCCTTGAACTTTCAAGGGAAATTCCCAGGAATGGAAAACCGGGAGACGAAGAACACATTGTGCACACATACACGAGCAACACCTGTCTCACAAACAAAAGTTAATGTTATTGCTGCAGCCAATATCTCAAGTTTTATGTTGTAGCAAAACAGAAGTAGCCCCTCTGGTGCCATCAGCATCTGTTGCAAGGAAATCCTTTCTGACACTAGTCAAATATATTCAGGCTTCAAATAAAACCTCAATTTTACCACCCACTAACAGGAACCTGAGCCAGACCATGTGTCCAAAGAGTTTAGCACAACCATTCCTGCTGAAACTGCTGTAAGCCTTGTATGTCAGTGAAAAATAGATGCGATGCTAGTTAGGATCAAATCTGCTTGGACTCTATGACCTTTGCCATCTGGTCTGGAATGATGGTATGAACATTACAATCCATTTATGGTACGATTCAGTCAAACAATTCCTCACTGACCATGTTTACATGCACAAATAATATCAGAATGTAGTCATATTCTGTTTGTTTAACCTCACCATAGTGCGTCTGCAGGTGCAGATGGTTGAATTTATGTTTTACTTACACACCTTCTGCAGATGCATTACTAAGGGTTGTGAAATATGTTTGGAGGGAGGAAACAGATTATTTTTTAGAAATGCACATAAATCTACAGACAGGTAATGATTCTCATGACCTGTATTTTGTGCTCCTGTGTGCTATTGTCGAATCGGTTTAATAATTTACTGTGCAAAATTATCAAAATGAATTATTAACAAGCACTTCCTATATTCCCAGAATAGAACAGAATGTGAGTTTATTCAAAATATGCTGATTACTGTGTTTACAGGAATAGTCTAATGGCTGGGGAAAAGAATATAGACCTTAATGATCTGCATGCAAACACACTAATGCACTATATTCCAATGGTGGGTAAAACTGACTTACACCTGTGATTATAAATTGCTGATCACACTGAATGAAGCTTGCAATATCAAATCTATAATACAACTGCATTAATATAAGCTCTTTGTTCAGAGGCATGTCTGCATGCTATAGAAATGCCATCACCTAAACCCTTTGCCCTAGAATTTACTGTTATTATGGAGGGACTGGTTTGTGCCAGCATGTGTTACAAGAGCTGCCTAAACCCTCAACAACCATGCATTTAAGGGGATCCTGTTAGAAATTGTGTTTTGGAAAAGAGAAACTCAAAGAGGATGAGTAACAGTCATGCAAACACTGAGGACTATTGACCTCTCATCTAAACCGAATTCTTTAGTGGAATAGGTCGGAATGCAAGGGACGAAATCTAAATAGAAAACAGAATAGCACCTTTCCTTTAACACTCGCTGGGAGTGGTGCAGCTCCTGGAATGTGTTTACCATCTGAGGTTCTGATTATACACAACATTAGCCCTCCCAAATAACAAAACAAATCAAATGCAGTCAGTGGAAAAGGGCCTTTCAATTGCATTCCTATTCAATAATGAAAGACTAATGGCTATTGCAGTTAAATGACTGCTTTCAAGCCGCTATCTCGCTCCCTGTGGGCAGGAAAGTAATGAAGGGAGGGTGCCGTCTTCGACATGCAAGACTGCTGTGCGACACACCGACTGATAGAGATCAACTATATCAACTATAGAGAGATAGATAGAAAGATGGATAGAATTACAGAATGACAGATAGGACGACAGATAGAACAATAGAGAATTGCAGAACGATAGAATCTGATAGAATAGATAGAATTATGGAAGGATACAGATCTATACAACTATAGAAAAGAAAAAGAAAATTATCACGGTCTGAATTGTGACAATGGCATCAAGCTTCCCTAAACACAGCATAGCCAACAGGAGCAGCTGCACAGTCGGGATGGAGTAGAGAGTCCCAGTTGCAGCATCTCAGCACGAAATTGTCTCATCAAGGGGAAACTAGAGTCAGGGGAGCGTGGAGAGAGAAAGAATGCTACTTCTACTGGACAAGCTTTACCAATCTACAGCTCAATTTACAACAAAATCTGTTCATTTTCTTCTTGTCCAACATGAGAAAAAGAAAGAAAGAAAAAAATAATAATTTAGTTGATGGGCAAACGTTGGTCAGGCTTCAGTGGCTGCGCACACACAAACACACAAGATGAAGCGTTCAGAGTGAGTTAAATTGTTTTTTGAGTTCCTATAACTGTTCTCAGCTCTCATGCATTCATTAAAACCACCTCTGCATCACAGACATCTATATGAATGGCATAAAACTGCAATATGAATAAAAGTTTTTTTTTTTTTTTTTTTAGGGCAAATTTTAAATGCCAGTAGGATTTTTTAAAAATGAAAGTTCCTATAACTGTTCTCATCTCTCACACATTAATTAAAACCACTGCTGCATCACAGACATCTATATGAACGGCATAAAACTGCAATATGAATAAATGTGCTTCTTTTGTAGGGCAAATTATAAATGGCATGGGGGAAAATAACATTATACTATTACCTTCCACGAAAAGCAATAAGTGGAATTTCATTTAAGAGAGATTGTTTGTTTACATACTCTATTGATTACGGCAGCAGTAAATCACTTAATGATGATCAAATGATGCAGAAAAGCATTTTAATTGGGCATACATCCAGATGCACATTGCCTGGACTGCACTGATGGAATAACGCTGTACAGTCTCAGCATAGTATGCAAGATTGAAGTCTGTTGAATTTTTCACAACCAATTATGGTGTGTAAATTACACTAAGCACACATTTTTATGCAATGCCTGTGCTGTTATGTGATTTGCATTGAATTCCTCTAGTAAATCAGATATAAAAGCTATGCTATCAGCTGCACAAAATCATTTTTAGTGAATCGAATATCCAAATAAACATTATTCTAGTTCAGGTACAGTTTAGTAAAAAAATGCATGCTTACAAATTATAATTTACTACATTTATAGTCAGTCATACAGGTTTGGATCAACATAAGGTTGATTCTGATGACAACATTTTCATTTTCGGGTGAACTATCCCTCGGTTCAGGCCAAGATGTTTAATATTTAAGACTGGAGGTTTGGAACAAACCAAAATGCCTTTCTATATACAGTAGTGCTACTACGCAAGTACTGTAATAATATAATAGTCTAATATATTTCACCCCTTCCTGATTTAATCATGTGAGCACATAAAATATAAATACTGAGTCATTTTGTCTCTTAAAACAAGAATGCTATTCTATAATTTAAACTTTCTATGTAACAAACTTTACATAATTTGGCAAAATGTCAACAGCACTGTTAACACAAATTAGCACTGTAGGCGACTCAAAAGAAAAGTGCTGGAAAATGTAATTTTATTATCCACTGCAGTGCTCCTGTGTGCTAGAATCTCAAAGTGGCTGAAGGGAGGCAGGGTTTTGAGTGAAAATGAAGAAACGCGGCTCTCTCCCAGGCATTGATTATCCTGCTCTCTTCTGGGCTGTGTGATTGCATGATTAGGGGGAAAAGAGACAGAGAGCAGATGAGAGGTGAGAGAGAAAGCTTTGTGCTTCTGAAAACTCTCCATTTCATGACCCTTGGGCCGCACAGCTAGTTTTCAGCGAAACGAGGGCCGCCAAAATGAGTACAATCTGACCAAAATAAAGAGTGAGAGATTAGAATTCACCAATCTAGAGCAGACGAATTCAGAAGCGCCAGGATGCTCTCAGACAGACTAGCAGTCCTCCATGGGTGTCTCGGTCAATGTTACGCTTATTTCCATTTTTCACGGACTCTTTGAAACTGCGAAAGAGGTGCCAATGGCCTGATTAAAATTCAATCAAATGATTTTCCTGGAATAAATGATATCTGCTCCACTCATTTGCACGAGGTAACCTTGGCTCAGAGCTAGAAACAGACGTTCATGTGGAAGCGAGATGTATAAGAGTGCAGAAAGGAGAACCCTGGGAAGGCAGAGAGAGTGTGAGGAAGACAGAAAAAATGGAAGAAGCTGAAATACTTGGAAACATTATTCAAAGGCTTTGCAATGCCAGCTGACGCAATGAAATTATAATTAAAATTCACGAACGAATGAACAAACAAATGACGAATGTTGGACAAATGACTAGATAGATAGATAGATAGATAGATAGATCACCCCCCACCTGCCAATTTAAATAAAATGTAAATTTGTCTCCCACATTTTTTATGGCAACAAATGAAATATAGACAGACAGACAAACAGAACAAACAAACAAATGCACGATGGATGGATGGATGGATGGATGGATGGATGGATGGATAGATAGATAGATAGATAGATAACCTACCTATCTAAACACCTGGTGGCGATAAAACAGTGTGCGTATCTCCGGACTAGAAAAATAAACCCAACAGATTCACAAACTTACATTCGACTGCTGGGAGGGATTTTGCGACCGTCTCTGAACCAGGTAACCTGTGGTTGAGGGAAACAGCGAATACGAGGCGCCGGTATTACGGCTCCTTCTCCTTGGGATACGGCTTGGGTTCGTTCCCCTTCCTCAAAACTTCCCATATCTATAGACAAAACACAAAACGAATGGTAAGAGTGAGCAAATTACAAAACACACGTTAAAACTACAATATAGTGCATATGTTAGCATTTAATATTAAACGTCTGTCTAAATACTGACTCATAACTCTACTACAAATACAAACAGACTTTAATTTCTGGTACAAGTGCCTATATCAGTGGATAAAAACAGTTGCAGTATTAACGTTTATCGTGTTGCCAGAGACTCAGCAGAATTTTCCAGTGTTTTAGTGTCTTTCACCATCTGCTTCAGTTGGGCAGCGTTTGACAGACGTGCTCTGACACAGCGCCAGACATCGTCGCGGCTGCCGTCGGACTGGGGATGATATGTGCCAGCTAGCTATCGGCCATGACAGTGACCAGAACTGACTCATCCGAACGGACGTTCACCATGCGTTAAATCAGCAGTCATTCTTATTTACACCCTTATCTGACTCAGCAGAACGTCCTTGTTGCAGGAACTCGGACATGAGTAGCTAACTTCCTGTGGAAATGTCCATTTATTCCAATCATATGTAAAAAATCCCTGAAAAAAGGTTTGTAGAGCAACTTTTACTCTCAACTTGTATGTTTTAAAAGGGTAGCACATCTAAAAATGAACATTTTGTCATCATTCACTCACCCTGATGTCATTCCAACACTGTATTATTATTACTTTCATATATAACAAAGGAGGTCTAAGGTAGAATGTCAGAGGAATAATGAAAGTAATATGTGGTCGGAATGACATGAGGGTGAATAAATGACAAAACTTTCACTTTTGGATGAACTATTTCTTTTGTTAGCAAAGGAAGTTAGAAAAGAACACCATTTCGAGCTGCACGGTGTGGAAGAGATTTCAAAATCAAAGGCAGCCTCTTTAATATCAAGAGCATTACTCATCAAAAAAGCTAATTATGGAAAACCACTTAAAAAATAATACAATATCCAGTATGGCAATGTCCTGCCTTTGATTTCACAATGTCGTTTCTTGTGTATTGACTCCTGTATTTGATTTCTCTCACTTTATCCTTCAAAAGAAACAAAAGGCAATTGGATGTCAATTATTGCACAGGTGCTTGAAAAGGAAATGAGAAAAGCAAATAAGCTCTAAGTACTTCCATCTTGACCAGAAGTGAAGTACTTCCACATTTCCTGATATGAAAGGCCATAACAAGAAGCGATGGATTGATACATTGAGCCAGCCTGAATAAATGGACAACGGTCGGCCATTTTGAGACTATTAGCATGGGCCGCTAACTGTGAGCACATGGCTATTTGCAATAGTGAATAAACAGATGTGTCAACTGATGATAAAACAGAGTAACTTTTGAGCATACGTTGTGTAAAATACACAATTGTTCAAAAGTTGGGGGTTGGTAAGATTTTTAGATGTTTTTGAAAGAAGTCCCTTATGCTCACCAAGGCTGCATTTATTTAATCAAAAATACAGTAAAAACGTGAAATATTATTGCAATTTAAAATACCTGTTTTAATGTATTTTAAAAATGTAATTTATTCCTGTGAGGAAAAGCTGAATTTTCAGCTGCCATTACTCCAGTCTTCAGAGTCACATGATCCGTCAGAAATCATTCTAATGTGCTGATTTGGACATCAAACATTTATCATTATTTTTATTACTACCAATGTTCAAAACAGTTGTGCTGCTTAATATTTTTGTGAAAACCATGACACATTTTTCAGGATTCTTTGATGAAAAGAAAGTTTCAATCAAATACAAAATCTAATCTTTTGTAACATTATAAATGTCTTTACTGTCACTTTTAGTCAATTTAATGCATCCTTGCTAAATAAAAGTATTAATTAAAAAAAAAAAAACTTTTTTTTTAAATTTATGTTATGTGTGTGGAGAGATGAATGAAAACATACTTATTTAAATAACTTTACAGCAAATCAGGAGCAAATTTTTTTTTTCGAACACGGATCTGTGAGCAGCGAGGAGTGGAGTGATTAGAGACTGGAAGTTGCTGTTGCTTCACTCACATACTCCGCCAGAGAAAAATCTAACTTCGATAATGACCGGAAACAGCCGAGGAGAGGTCAGTGGGCAGTGAAACTTGAATCTGGCTTGAAACACCAGAGACTTGCCACTTGGTTCAAGCGCAGCAGCTGTTCCTCATGCTAAACAGATTATAAAATGGACGAATGAATTAAATTCTGAGAGAGCGAAGCGATTGGTCGACACAACCTCATCAATCTAATAAGGAAGTTAGAGTGGACCAGCTGTGGCATTGCAGAGGATCTTTTAATGAAACAGAGGTACTTTTAATGAAACACACACACACACACACACACACACACACACTGGGGCACAATTTGACCGTCTGGTAACAATCACACAAGCAAGGACCAACAAACATAGAAATCTAATCTTAGTATGGTTACTCACATGCCACTTGTACTTCGGTTCTCCTCTGTAACAACGCCCCAACTCTGTTCCTCACAATACACCGATAGAAGCCAGCATGCGATCTGTCCAGAGATGGTATCAAATACCTGTGAGAGATAAAACATGGTGGGTTTACTCTCTAAATAATGACTATGCATCAAGCATGATGTAATGCCAAACTGTCAAAGTGCCTTTCATAAGCGATGCATAAGCATTTTATGTATATTTTATATGTACAAATGACTCTGATTTATTCTGTCACCGCCGTCCTTCTCAAAGCAACACCTCTGTAATCTGTCAAAACCGTCAGGCTCTCGCACGCACTTTTCATTTCAACGTATGTTCCTTATCTTTTGTAGAGCATACCTGGGAGAATATAAAAACTGCTATAAAGTATATTTTTTCTATATTCCAATCTCATTGTGATGACCTTGAATTCCTCTGATTCAGTGCAGAAAGTAAATGTGCTTGCATTATCTTCTTCCCCTCAGTAGGTGGCGCTCTGACATACACAATTACTGTGGAAGTAAAAAAGCTGTTGCAGATTTTAGTGAGGCCTATGAGTGAGTAAATAACCAAGTCCCAATAGTTTTACATTCCTCTTCCGGGACCTTTGTTACTTACATTATAGCCAATATGGCAGAAAACGTCTCCAGGTTACGTATGTAACCATGGTTCCCCGAAGGGAACGAGACGCTGCGTCGAAACGCTACGGGAACGCCTCCAGCGTGATCACGCTCTGACTCACATGTGTAATCAGTCCAATGGATGGGCGAGACGTCACGGGCGGGGTGACGTACTCCGCTCCACAGTAAAGCTGCTCATTATAATATTAGGCATAATATGCTTGTGTAATGATGTTTGTGCAACTGGCGATCTCATCGACGCCCTCATCAACCTCCTCGGAGGAAGACAGGCGGACCGTCGAGCCCTCTCACCGGGGGGAAATAACCGCAGCGCGGGCTTCCGAACCCCGAGAGGGGGCGCTGGATCTAGTGGTTAAGGAAGAAGATAGGGACTCGCCCGTCTACATTCCCTCCACCGGATCCATATGCGAACCCCACGAGCACAGCCGCCGCTGTTTGTCTACACTCGTATTGGTAAAATAAAGAATGATAATGGACAGACAACACCATATAAGACTGACACACACACGGAGCGCTTGCTGAATGACAGAAAGCTATGTCACCCCGCCCGTGACGTCTCGCCCATACATTGGACTGATTACACATGTGATTCAGAGCGTGGTCACGCTGGAGGCATTCCCGTAGCGTTTCGACGCAGCTCAAGTTCCTGAAGGGGAACCAACTAATGGCGCTTTTCCACTGCGTGGTACGACTCGGCTCGGTACGGCTCAGTACGGCACGGCACGGTTCGGCTCGGCACGGTTCAAGTTCAGTGACGCAGGTAGTGATGATTCTCTCCGGCCAATCAGTGATCAGCAGGGTTTACACGTCACGTTTTGGTAACGGTACGGTTCGCTTGGAACCCCAATCGAAGTGGTACTAAAAAAAGTACCAGGTACCATGTACTGTACCCAGTGGAAAATCCCCCAAAAGTGAACCGTACTGAGCCATACCGTGCCGTACCATGCAGTGGAAAAGCGCCATAAGACCACCGAACCATTAATTTCATGCTTGTTGTTCATTTATGAAAGACTGAATTACACAAAACATGAATTTGATAATAACACTTAATCACTGATAAAACTCACAGCAATGAATTTCTGCCTTTATTAAGGATACAGCAAACATAAATAAATAAATAAATAAATACACTAACATTCAAAGATTCAAGTACAGTACATTTTTAAGAAATCAATACTTTTATTCAACAAGCACATGTTAAATTGATCAAAAGTGACACTAAAGACAACATTATTACAAATAATTTATATTTTAAAAAACAAAATTTATTTTTGAACTTTATTTTGAACATCAAATAATCTTTAAAATGTATTATGGTTTCTATACAAAAAAATAATAAGACGAAATGATTCTTGAGCAGCAAATTATCATATGAGAATGATTTCTGAAGGATCATGTGACACTGAAGTCTGGAGTTATAGCTATTGAAGTTTCAGCTTTGCCATCACAGGAATAAATTACATTTCAAATCTTTTTTATTTTTTATTTTTACTGTACTTTTTACTAATTTTAAAAGTTATTTTGAAGAATATGAAAAAAAAAAACTCACGACCCCAAACTTTTGAGGAGTAGTGTATGAAATTGCTAATATTTCTATAAAGTTATGTAATTGGCATAAAAAGTTCAAAATAGCACATTTCAAATCTCAAGCAGCTGCTGTTGAAATGAATGTGAATGCTTGTAGCTTGTAGCTTGTAGCTTGTAGCGTGTAGCTTTTCTCGGTCGCCATGATTTTGCCAAGTAAGACATGTTCCTGGATCAACATCTTTTGATGATCCTGGATCAACATTAATGTCCAAAAATATAGACTTAACCCAATCCCTACCCCTAAACCTAACCCTACCCATAATTTATTCCTAAAATCAGTGGGAAATGATAGCTCATTAACAAGAGTGTACCTGATTGTAAGCCTAAAACTGACATTTCCTGAAAAGTTATATCTCTATTCTGATTGGTTGATTGGAATGATGTTCCAGGATCAACAAGGATGTTGATCCAGGAACATGTTGTACTTGGTGAAATCACGCTCACCAGCTTTTCTCTTTTGTATACACCAGCTAAAACTTCATTACTTTAATTTACCTCTCATTGTGAAGTGAATGAAATCGGATCATCTTCCAGACCATTTTAATTCAGTCAAACCACATTTTCTCTCAGCCCGACTGACCTGAACTCAAATTAAACTGACCCGAAGGCCCATGGGCCACACATTACCGGGCCAGAATGCTCTCCAGCCTCATGGATCAATGATGGAGAGAGATAAAAGAATGAAACTGCACATAAACGAGTGGGATAGAGGGAAGGAATGCGAGAAGGAGAGGGAGATGAGGAAGACACTCTGCATTTCGATCTAGATGCTTTAAAAAGCCATTGACCTCAGATGGCAATCAATACAAACAATGGAGTGTAGAGACAGTAAAGAGATCTGTCCAGACACAGAGAATGAGACTGAGAGAGAAGGAGAGAAGGATAATGAGAGCAAAGAGAGAACATAATGCGAAGAATAAGAAACAAGAAAAAGTCAACAAAAAAAGATGAGGATGATAGAGAGATGGACACAGAAGCACATGCAAACAGGAAGACAACAAGAGGACAGTGATTGATTAGCCAGATGCTGTTAGAAGGTCAGTTGTTTGGCTATTCAGTCAAGGCATCAACATTATCTGTCACTCAAACTACTGCTGTCTGAAATAGCTTTTTACTTTCAATATAGTGCCATGGGAGAAACCGCAAAGCTACAGTAAATATGAGAGAAATATAGAATAAAAATGGAATGGAAAGACTGGATGTATTTAAAGAGACAAACCGTCTTTTGATAAAAAATTAGAAACGGATTAAATAGAAGCTGTACTTGTAGTCTGGCCACAGACTAACAGAACAGAACAGAATATAATAGAATAACAAGTGAATACAAAAATATAATTGAAACTGCTTTAAAATGATAATTATTTTATAATATATTTTATAATTATTAATATATTTTATTTTATTATAAAAATAGTATTAAAATTAATATTTTTACAAATTGATATATATATATATATATATATATATTAGGGCTGTCATCGTTAACGCATGCGATTAATTTTACAATCCATAACGCGTTAAAATAATTTAACGCAAAATTACTGAAGCACAATTTCTATTGTAACCCTTTACCCCAATTTTGCTTCTCTGCTTGCTTGCAGATCATTTTAAGCTGCTAAACTCAGGGAAGGTTTTCAATCCAATGATCCAGTCAGCAAATGCATTCAAACAATCCGTCCAAAACAGCGCTAATATAAAGGAAACCAGGCTGATTACATCAGAGATTGCAGAGAGAA